ACATATATACATATATACATATATACATATATACATATATACATATATACATATATACATATCTACATATATACATATATACATATATACATATATACATATATACATGTACACATATATACATATATACACCTACATACATATATACATTCTTACATACACATATACATTTACACACAATGTATATACGTATATATATTTGTAAAAAATTTGTGTGTATATATACGTATATACGTATATATGTGTATAATATGCTTGACTAGAACCATGCATTGGGCCTGTTCAACAACCAGAATCGGCAGGTGCCGCCCTACCACCCGGGGCCATGTTTGTAAGGTCTCACGCAAACGCGAACTGATGATGATAGACCAAAATGGGGTTGGGCCACTTGGCACCCTCAATCTAAGTGCTGTACCCCATGAATTAGCAATGTTCCTTAATTCTTGAAGCAATGTCATTTCAAGGGATGGGGGAGTGTCTGGTGCTGCGGTCAGCTGAGGTCAGCTTTCACGAGGGCAAGGCAGTCTCAAGGCCGTCTCCCAGCAACCAGGCGGTGCAGCCTGGCAACCACATGGGATATTAATATAACATTAAAAAAAAGCTGCTTCAATGCTAGCTGGCCTAGTGGGGCAACAAGCTGTTTCGTTGCTCAACTTGCAGTTGTCGCACAATGTTGAACACGTGCATGTGCAAACCTGCATCGTGCCAGCGGGAGTCCCAAAATCAGTTCATCTCCGCACCGTCGCTCATGAAGTGTCTCACTTCATCCAATCATGAAAACAATTGGGCCAAACGTCTCAGGACCTGACTTGCTGGAAGCAGAATGATATTCTGTACGCAGGGGCTGCTACACATGCAAACGTGTATACAGAAGACTCGTGACAGGAGTTCTGACAATGCAGTCAAAAACATGCTAGGAGCAACATTACATGAGAAAGCTCAACAGATAATAACTATACATGTGCCACGCGCGGTTCTTTCCTCAACGGGTGTTGAAAAACTCTGCTCACCACTCAAGCGTCGCCTCCTCCACAGGTGCAGGCGCTGGCGGTGCGGGCACACCGTCCTCGACAGGCATAAGCACTTGAGGGGCAGACGAAAGCTGGCAGGGGATGAGCAGGGTGGAGGCATGGCGGATCGCACCGATTCTCGCTTGCAAGGAGCACCAGAGTCATGACAAAAACGGTTGGGCAAGCCAAACCGTACTGAAGCGTCCGCAGCGCTGAAAAAAGAGACATAAAGAACTCTCAACATCCCCATTGAGCCGCTGCCAAGCGGCATGTTTCAAAAACTGGCCGTTCCTATCTAACACAACTGAAAGACGTCATGACAAACACCTCCCTGCCCTTTCGAACCGCTGCTCCCATCACATGCGCTCTGAAGGAAAACCTCTGCTACTGCTACTACTAATCATAAATTATGATCATACTGCAAGTCATCGTCGTCGTCGTTGGCGCGGTGGCGGCGCTGGTTGTCATGAACCATGAATAATTGTAATGTATAGTAATGACAATTCGGGTCTTGCAGATGTTCGCGAGGTGTGTACAGCGTGTCGGGTCGGTGGCAAGAAGTGAGTGAGGCTAATTAGTGAGTCATGTTAGTCGGCGCAGCGAGTAGGGCAAGTCAGGTGAGTGAGGTCGGTGCATGAGCGAAGACAGTGAGCAAAGCGGGTGAGGTGCGTGAGGTGGGTGAGGCGGGCGAGCCAAACGAGAGAGTGATTGGGAGGTAAATGAGGCACATCAGGCGGGGAAAATGAGTGAGAACCGCGAGTGAGCGAGGTGAGTTCATGAGGTGTCTTCCGCAATGCCTCTACCTTGCGTTGTTCGGTTGTTTTGCTCTGGGCCAAAACAGCTCCAAGTGGGTAGCCGCGTATCAGCACGGACCTTCCCCCCCCTGCTAAAGTAGAAAAGACTCAAGCCTAGCTGTCACTATCTCTCGTGATAAACCCTACCACGCGGATGAAACAGATCCATCAATTATACAGGTCGGGCTATGACAGAGTGCGAAGACATGTTTTGGGGTATCAGTCACCGTCTGACGCCGCAGACCGCTGCTACTGTATGTTAAGTTACTATGCTGCATGCCGCGACATCCCCATGGCCTCCGGGAGGGGTGCCTCGGCGTTGGAAAATCACGGTAGCCCCGGCAAGAGGACATGCAGAATATAAAGAAGTTTGTGAATCCTCTCAAGTTTCTGGGCCAAAAAATGAAACGAAACTGCACGGATGCAAATTCCAGTCGGACTGAAATCTGATGTTGCGCCTTGCCCTGAGTCCTGAGGCCGCCACAAGGCCCGACTTTTTGCGCGGCTTGCCCTGTCAAACTCTGAGCGCGCCAGCTTTCCGATCGATTTACACTTGGCTCTGCACTGAACCTGTCTCTTTGGACGGTTGGACAAGTCAAGATAGAACCCATCTGGATAAGACACGGCACGTGCCGGATTTCCCCTGATCCCGTCCAGGCCTTGAAAAAGCAGCAGGGGTCTTTGCATGAACTGCAGCCCTGGCCAAGCGATGCATCTGCGCTCTATGACATGTCTGGACGCGCACTGCCCAGGCAAGACACCTCACCTCCGGCCTACACTTGCTTGGCTGCTTCTGTCCATCGCTTCAACTTCATTGACATGGTGCAAAATTTAAGAGATATAAGCACTTGATCCAACCGTCGGCTTGCCTCCGGCACGAGCAGGTCTTCCAGCTCCTGCGCTTCACAACTGGAATTTGGATGCTTCCTGTCCATGAACCCATCCTACTGACTGTTCCAACCCTGACAATATTGGTTTGGTCATCGCGCATGAAGTGGAGTACAACACATGCTTGGTTCTCTGTATGTCGACGCCGCAGGCTTGCCAGATGCATGAGGAAGTATGATGCACTCCTGCGAAGGGAAGATGCGCCAGCCTAGCAACCAGTCCGTGGCTGCGATGGCCTAGGTGCAATTCCACCTCTAGGGGAACTGTCTGGCTGCGCCGTCACCTAGTGTGTCAGGGCATGTGGCTCATGTGGTCAGCTCAGGAACTGCTGCTGTGTGTCGTGTAATTACCTTGCAACTTTTGGGCAAAGCTTGAGCTCAGCAAGGAATGCGATTGCATTGAGCAGCTCCGCAACGTGAAAGTCACCATAGCTAACGCTCGTAGCATACGTACACAAACTCGCACAAAATTACTCAAAATTTACTCGCATGCGGCTAATTTTTGGGGAGTGCATTTACTCACATGCGAGTAAACTTTGGGGAGTGGCTCTACTGGCCAGATTTACTTGCAAAAATTTTGGCGAATAAATTAGGCCAGCAATTTTTGGGAGTATTTTTTGGGGAGTATATGTTGGGCGAAAATTTAGCCGAAAACACGAACAATTGGAGTTAAAAAACATTGTATATATATATATACATACATATATGTGCATACGTATACGTATGCGTATACGTACACGTATACGTATATATATATATATACACACACACACGCATCTATATGTGTATATATATATATCACTGCGGGCAGCCGCTGGAGCTTCGGAACACGAACAAACAAACATGCACATATATATATATATATACATACACACACACACACAACCGGGTTTACAAAAGACTTCCCAAAAGAGACATATGTCATATTATGTTTTCCTTGAGATCTCCCATAAGCTCGTTCAAGATCTTTTTGATCCGGCCATGGCGTCTGAGCGCCCGTTGCCTGGTTTCGGTTACCAGCTTCCCGTTGCGCACGTCTGGTTGCCGAGACGCCTTTTGCTCTACACTTTCGTGCTGGGCTTATAACAAGAACCAAACAAAACCAACCGAGACATCTGCAACGGATATCGCCAACCCGCCGTAACGGAAACCAAGAACGTGCAACGGATACCGACAGAACTTGGCGAATCCAGTCCCCCACTGTAACAGGAAACCAAAAGCCCGTACCGCAACGGGAAACCAAGAAACTGAAACAGAAACCGCGGAAAGGCATCTGTAACGGGAAACATGACTTTTGCAGTGGATTGAATATATGCCCCTCCTCACAGCAACTGACTCCCTAATTCGCAAATCACGTTTGTAGCGCCAACAGCTTGGCATGGGCCGCTTGAGGGCTTGAGAGGTTGAGGGTTTGTTTTGGACTAAGGGTTGTTAAGGTTTAAGGTGTAGGGGTAGCTGGTCTGCTCTTAATAGGCGCAAGCCTAGCGGCAGAGTTCCGCTGTGCTACAAGCCAGACCTAGAGCCTCATTGAGCAAGAACGGGAGGCGCGCACAAACTTCGAGAAGATCCCCACCAAAGCAATTCTATGCAAGATTCGTACATTTGTCTCTCTTCCCGCCTCAGTCAACCACGGGAGTCTTGCAACAGGAGAAGATTTGGAAGCATCAAGGAGCGCCTGGCCGTGCACCAAGTGACAGCTGAAGGACAACAGCACAAAACAGCCCTTAGTTCCTTACAAGGCCTCCCAAAGCTCATAAGCTTCTGCGCGCTGCCTCTCGGCCTCATGCGATGTACAGTGCTCCAAACAGAATTGAATAAGAATTGAATAAGAGTCAACAAACTCAGAAGCCGCCGCCTCGCGGTGGATTCTTCGGGTGATGTTCGGTAGGTCTTCTTCAGCGAAGAGCCGGCTCTGAGCCACAAGCAAATAACTTCACGCGAACGAATGCTCACAAGACTACAACAACATGTATGCACGGAGCTTCCTGCCTGCTCCTGCTGAGTCAGCCCGGATGCTGTGTAGCGGTAGTCCGCGGGATGAGGGAGCCAGCGGAAAGCATACCAGACGTATTGGACTTCAGTCATGCTTCAAAGCGGAAGCGGAAACGAAGATGATCAGCGTCCTAAAGCAAGTGCGAGTACTTGCAGTCTCGAGCCAACGAGCCCAGGATTTGCTATGGTGCCAACATAGACCAACAAAAACCATGGGCAAGGATGCAGGCATTGCAGTCTCATTTCAGGAAGTGTCCACATGGCCAAGAAGCTGAAAGTTGGATCCCTGGCTCGACTAAGGTTACGTCACCACGTGACATCATTGCGATCTGTACAAACGCAGTGATGCTTGAAGAATCAAGGACATCTCATGTCCCTAAGTGCCAGTCTAGCCACTAGTCCCTCACTTCCAGGGTGCATGTGAACAAAAACCCGCGCAAGACCGCAAGACCACGCTTTCTTGTTTTCGCACTTGCCCCCACCCTGGCTCCACTTCTGAAGACTTTGCGGCTGTCGGGATCCACGTGGCAGCCTCTGCACCTCCCGCCGCCTCACACGAAAGGCGAATAATCCATTTCTGGCCTTGACCCCGCAGCATACTCCAGCATGATACTACATCGACGTTGCAACCGCATCCACGTCCCCCCTCCCCCTTCCCCACTCCGTTGTGCCACGTCCAGTCTACAAGACGATCTCTGGGTGTACAGAAGCGAAAAAACAGGCTTGCCCAACGGTTGGAAGATCATCCATCTATCTTACACGCCTCATACCTCTGGCCTCCTCGCCCTTCCCCAACCCCAACCAAAAAAAAAGAGGAAACAAAAAAAAGGCAACCACGCCAGCAGCACTAGAAATCCTAGTTGGTCCTACGAGTAGCTTGTTCTCGGTTTGGGGTGGCCGGCTGCATCTGCCCAACTTACAGTCGACTCTTCGTCTTCATTCAGAAACTCTCCTTCCATGTGCAGAACACTTCCTACACAGCGCTGGGACCCTTAATCCAATTGAATCCTGAACAACACTTGCCAACTGCACAACCTCCAACCAAATCATTCAAATCCCAGCTCTGCTGAAGCTCTGGGGCTCTAAGATCTAGTGCGACTCTCTCACCTTAGCACATTCGAAAGACCCAAGCTGGCTCACGGAGCTCATGTTTCAGCCATGCTGCATGCATTCCTGTCATCTGATCTGAACGGCGCGAAGCAGGTTCTACCTTGGCCTGCGCCTTGAGAAACACATGCCTCCCTTAAGTTCCCTGGCCCTCCCTCCTTCGTGGACTTGCTCTGTCCCTTACGTGTGCCCACCCCCGCGCACGCGCACTCGGTGCTTTTTGCTCCGGCTCCGCTGGGCGACTGGAGGCCGAGAGTCTCTCAGAGTTCGTCCTGGCGGCGGCCCACAACATGTCGCCACTCGACGACCGCGCCCCCCCCAAAGCGCCTTGGGGTGTCGGAGGGCGGCAGCCTCCGCCTGTTCCTCCAAGCAGGCGCCCGCATGCCGGACCAGGGCCTCCGAGGGAGAGGGCATGCGCAGGAGGGCGAGCAGCCGCGAGAGCAGGTCTGCTCAGGACATACATGCAGAAAGGAGGCCGGCTCTGCCTGGTAGGTGCAGCGCGAGGGCTCACTGACCTCCACGACCTGCAGGACAACGGGCAACAGCGCTCTCCACATAATATGTACAGCGCTGTATACATATGTGGCCCCCCTCGGCCCCCCTCTGCTCTGCGGCTCTGCAGGACAGCGGAGAGCGCGCCTCTTCGGCGCCGCACTCGAAGACCACCTTCAGACTCCGAGCGGGGCCTCCGTAGCCTCGGGACGGCTCTGCGGCTTCAGTTGCTCTAGAAGTGGTACCTTACAGGTCCAAGTCCAAGCGGCACATGTCCCCATCTTTGAAGAGGGCCTCCGAGGAGGAAGTGAAGCCTCGACTCGCCGCAGCAAAATCGGCCACGCGGAGAGCGCAGGTTTCGCGGAGAGCGCGCCCTCGCGCCGTATATATAGGGGCCCCCGGCCGCTCCAGGTGCCGAGGCGGGTGAAGGACTGCTTCGCATCCTTGAAGAAGCAAAGCTTGTAAGTGTACCTCACACAAAAAGGGGCGTGAAAGGGGGGGTTACCGGGGACAGCCTCCGAGAAGCTACGCATCGTTTCCCCGAACAAGACAGAGCTCCCACCTCATACCTATACTACATGCCCTACAGCGCGCAAGTGCCCGAACTAGCAAGCGGCGGAGAATTACAAAAAACGCACGCGGAGCGGACTCGATAAAAAGTTGACAAACAGAGGCCGCGGCTGGCCGCGGCTGGCCGTGGCTGGCCGCGGCTGCGGTTCGAGGAGACCGAGGTTTTCGAGAACACGGAGCTCTTGAGGACGGAACAGTCAGAACCCAGTCCTGCCACCAAGATGGGAAAGCGGGAAGAGTGGAAGGACGTGGAAATTTCCGATACGACGGGACGTAGAAGACCAACGGGTCTGTTCCGCCCGAACATGAAACTCGACTGGCTTAGATCCGCCACAGCAGCAGAAGACTAGACATGGTAGCAACATATCCCCTTCATTCAACGGACTCGGCGTGATGCAATCGTCGTGTCTGCGCCGACCGTGTCACGAGTGCATTCGTGAGCCGCGGCCCAGGGGGAGACAAGCTGCGAAGCCCTCTTCTGCATGTCAGATTACCCTGAAAAAGCGCCGAGCAAGACAGACACGCAAAGCATCCCTGCAGCCTTGCTTTGCTGTGCTGCGATGTGGGCTGCTGGGCTGCGCGACTGGGCCCAGGGCTCGGAGGTCTTGTGCTCCAGGCACTTGTCTCGCAGACTGGCAAAGCCCAACATCTCCTCCGTTGCAGCGTCTCAGAACGGGACGGGGGGTGGGGGATCATGTGGAAAGCTCGAAGCAGCCGTCCCTCGGGCCCGTCCTCGGGGAGTTCCTGCAGAGGCGTGAGACGTGAAACCCGCAATTGACAGCTTTTAACATAAAACCACGAAAGATCCGCTGTCTGCAAAGAGCCTCTGCTTTAAATCTTCGTTCTACGTCACTGCCATTGCTTCTTTATGTGGGCTGTACAGAGAATCCTTGTCTGCTACTCCTTGTCCCGGCTCATCACGACACATAAAGTCTCCACGGTCTCCATCAACTGCTTGATAATCTTGTCTGATGAGGTGCTTTTCATTTTGGCGAAGTGCAACTCGTTGTCCCAGAGACCTCACGCTTTTTCGGGTTTCGCAGGTTGTAACAGTACACACCATAAAAGCTGCCGAAACGCCCAACATGTCGGACCTCAGGCTGGCCCTGTTGCTTAGCCAGTTGCCCTGTGCTGAAATAACTTTTGCGGCACCGGGTGTTTTTTTGGAAGATAGAGAACGACAGACTGTAGATTGTAGCTCCCATTACAACAGAACCGTTTCCCGTGTCAGCACTTCTCCACTTGATTTCCCACAGCCAAAATGTTGAGGCTGACATACTGGAGGAAGGTTCCTGCTTGGGTGAGTGTGGAGAGATCACAAGGCTAAGGGGGGCACGTCTCAGGCCGGTATAGCGCCATTTAGCACTGCTGAAGCTCTGAAAAACCTCTCTCTCAGAGGGGAGACTGTTGAGCACATCTCCCCTCCTGCAGCTCCCGCTCCAGGCGCTCGCGCAAGGCCTGCGGGCTGCGACGGTGAAGGCAGTGGCAGAGCTGAGCTCGGCATCTGAAAGACTGGGAACTGCGGCTTGGCGCCTGCTCCGACTTCACCTGCGCCTCAAGCTCCTTCAGCTCTTTCCCTGCAGGGTCCTCCGACTCCGAGTCGCCTCCGGTCCGGGCGATTCGGACCTAGGCCTATAGAAGCCTTCTTCTCTTAAAAGGGCGCTTGCGGCCTGGCCTGAAGCCTTCTCCGGACTGGCCTCGGCAGACAGCGTGTTTCTTTCCGCTGAAGCCACCCGCTTGCGCGCCTCGACCTCCTCCCGCTTGGAAGGGGGCTCCTGCTCCTCTTCCGGCTCCTCCGGCTCTTCCTCCGGCTCCTCCGGCTCTCTCTGCTGCAGCCCGTCTGTCTCGGCGTCGCGGCCCTGCCTGCATGGCATCGGCTCCCTCCATCCACCTCTGCAGTGCGAGAAGAGGAGGCCGAGGGTGTCGGGAAACTTGCAAAAAAACACACCCCTTTTGTTGTGAGCTCGGGAGCAGTTCTTAAACAGGCCATGGCGGCTTGGCATACTCGGAGACCACCTTGCTAGTGGTGCTCGTGGAGCTCGCTCCTGCAGAGCTGACGCTTCAGCCAAGCGACGGACTGCCGACTGAGCGCCTTGCCTGCGTCGGCGCCCTTTGTCTGCGCCTGACAAAAAGGACAAAACATAATAGGCGTTTTTTCGGACTGCTTTTAAGCCGCCCCTGCGGTGTCGCGTCGCGTGCCTCCAGGGATGCGATTTTGGCCTCCGCGGGAGCAGTGACAGGAGCACGGCCCGGATCCCTGGTGTTCAGAATGGTCTCGATATATGAACCTGCAGGTATTTACTTTGGCGGTTTCCCGAGACATGTACAGTACCTTGCGAATAAGACAGCGAACACCAGAGTCACTAGTCACTAATTAGTAGAGGGCCCAGCAATAGTAGCTTCCAAGGTTAACACATCGAGACATGTACGCAATGATGTACCGATGTACCTGTCCAGTGTTGACAGTGAGATGGAGCACGGAGAGAGAGTGGTCTTCAGTCTTTAAGCTTCCGGAACAGCTCTCTGAGGCCAAGACTTCCAAGGATTTCACCTTCTCCCTCAGCCTGCGAAACAGCGAAGAGCCAAGCAGAGCCAAGCAGAGCCAAGCAGAGCCAAGCGTGGCCGCAGCCACTGAGCTCAGCCGAGCCAGAGTCAATGCCATCGGCGCCTTGGCAACTCGGTCTTGCACTCCTCCTGCAACTTCACGGCCTCGAGCTCCTCCTCGGATCCGCGACTCTCGCCGCGCTGCACCGGTCCGGGTCGAAGGTCCTTCCGCTTCCGCGCCTCGCCTAGGCGCAGCTCCAGCTCGGGCAGCTGCGCCAGCAGCCTCGCTCTCGCAGACTTCGCGGCCTCCCCTCACCCCAAGCCCGTCACCTGTCCAGATCCTCGCGCTTTTGGACAAGGCTCTGCTTCGCCTTAAGTAGGCAAAAAAAGGGTAGAGAAGCCGGCGCGTTTCCACAAGCAAGGCCCCTCCTCCGTGATGGTCTGATGCTTCACTTCCAGGCCAGCGCCTCAGAGATGGAAAAAGCCGGCGCCCACGTGTGCCCTCTGTGCTCTCTTTGTGTCTGGCGGAGGTCTTTCAACTTCCGCTCCCGCTCGGCTTGCAGGCGCTCACCTGCAGAGGCGAGTCGGCCCGCAAGGCCCGCAACCGCAAACACAAACAACACATTGACATGAGGGCCGAAGCCGGAGGGCTCTCGGCTCTTTCGCTCTCTCGCCTTCTTCTCGGCAAGTGTTCGGACCTCAAAAGGGCAAATTGCTGAAAGGGGCTCTTGATCCGGCTTGGGGCCCCGGACATCGAGTACTGCGCGAGGCTTCCTGGCAAAGACAAAGACAAAGAAAGAGGAGACTCTCCGATCACCGCATTGCACGGCCGCTCCTCATCAGAGCCGTCGCAGCAGTCACAGATTCCATCCCCGACCCTGGACACGTAGACCTCGCCGTGCAAATAACGCTTCGGACTGACAGGGCTGACAGGGCCCTCAGTTTGGCCCTCTCTGTAGGGGCCAACACCAGCCGCGCTGCGCTGCCTGCATTGCTGCAATGGAAGAGAGCCTGTCGCAGAAGGCACGCACGCAGTGCTTGTTACAGTGTTGTTCTGGCCCAAACAAGTGCCTCAGAGGCACCAGCGCAGGCTCCAGTTCCTGCGCTGCGGAACGAAGCTGAACCAAGGCCGGCAAGGCGCCGCTCCGCGCCTGGCTCATCTGATCCGTCTGGGCAGTCGCAAAAATCGTCGTTTACCTCTGCGATTTGCACCTGCAAGCAGACGACAAGAAGAGGACAAGACGAGTTCTGTCCGGTTCTTTGAATCTCCGACTCCGACGACCGAGCCGCCCAAGAGGGGCGTACATGGAAACGATGAGAGGGTGTGTGCCGCTCTCTTATCTTCAATTCCTTGACACCAGAAACGTCCGCATCGCGATTGCGCGCCGCAGGACCCCTGGCCCAGGTGGCTACACGAAGAGGTGTTCGCGAGGGGTTCAGAAAGGGTCCCTGTCCAGTGCGTTGGCAGGCTCGCAGGGTGGTCCAAGAGGGGCCTCGTCACATCAATAACACAACAGGAAGAGACATGGTAAATATAATACTTCTTGTCCTGAACGAATAACAGGGACACCTTGAAAAGGAGGGCTTCTAAGGCAGGTTGCAGCCCCCCCCCCCGCCGCACCCCCCCACCCGCAGCTGCCCTGCCTCCGTGGTGGTGCTTCCGCACCGGAAGGTGGCTCCGCTGTATCGCCCTTGCAGATCTGGCGCCACGCCTCGAACCATCGCAAGGGCCGCTCGCCCAGCACCTTAGCGAAAGCCACAACTCCGCCGGAGCCATGCAGGGCTCTCCAAGTCCGATCCGATTCTCTCTGAAAGAGTGTGCCTTCCTGGGTTTCCGGGCTCAAGGCACCCAGCAGGCGCCACATCGCCGCCACCGTCCCGAAGAGAACCAAAACCTCCTGGCCCGCCAGCGAGAGAAGGTCCGCTGGCAAAGGCCGCCAGGAGAACGTGTCTGCTGTGTATTAGCGGCTCTTTGCGGCGTCTGACCACCAGGACTCTGGTTTAGTCTAGAGTCTACGCGGCTTGCTTCTTCTTCACCAGCACTTTTAACTGGGGCTCATGACATGGCTTTCTCTCAAGGCCTGTGAGCAACACGGCAAGCTCGAGTCCGTTCCCATACTCCTACACTGACGGAAACTATCTAAAAGCTTCGCTCCGCGGCACCTAGCACTGCTGGCCGTGCTGCAGCCTGGGGATGCCGTCGCAACGCGAAGAGTCTGCAGCTGAGGCTCTGCCCTTTTTCTGAAGCGAGATAGGGCATTATATGGCATTATCGGGTGTGGTGTGAGACAGCTGCATGTCGCGGAGTCGGAGTCGATCAGATCTGCCAGGTGCAGACAGCGCACTAGACAGCGCACTGATCTCTCTCGCTCCGTTCTCTCCGTGGGCCCGTGCTCTCCGTGGGCCTCGCGGCTCATGAGCGTGCTGAGGGTGATGTGGCCTTGCCTCTGCTGCGAGCCATCTCGTCGCGGATCCGCGGCCGCGACGACCCGTAGGCCCCAGACAGGAGGCCACGATCCGTGACGTAGACCACTCCATCGCTCTCGGCCTGATGCTGTAGTTGCCCCTACTCTTCTCGCGTGTTGTTCGTTGCGCACCCCCAATTTGCCAATCTTTTTTGCTCCAAGCAGCAACCTTCATCAAGAGGTACACCTCGCAACTCTCTGGCCGATCTGTCGACTACAAAAGCCTGGGCCTGAGGTCTCTCCCTGAGCTCTGAGGCTCCCCGCATCCTTGACGGTGCAATCCGGCGAGACGCGCACCGGGGAGCCCTCCACCAGGGCCTCGCTACCTCTGAGCGCGCGCGCGCGCGCGCAGAGCGCGCAGAACGCAGAAGCGGGCTGCGCTGCTGTGGCATCCGTGGCTGCGCTGGCGCGGCGCTCAGTCTGAGCTTTCGGGCCGTCTGGAGGTGCCTGGAACTGTGGATCCATGAGATCCTCACGGGCCACGCACAGTCTCTCACAATATACCTATTTTGAATGAAAAGTCTCAGTCCCGGACGATTTCCCGGTCGGGCGTCTCGCCTCTGGGATCGAGCATCGTCACCAGCCGCCTCGAGACTCGCGCAGGCGCAGGCGCAGGCGCAGCTCACCATTTTTGAGCCCAGCGGCTCGACGTTCTTCCGAGTCATGGTCCCCTCCAGCAGGCCCTGGGCGTCCAGCTTCCACGATCTAGAGCCGAAACTTTCATCAACTCTCCTCCTTTCCCCGTCAACACTTATGGCAGAGCCTATTTATCCAGGCCGTGCTGGAATCGACCTTCTTCTTTCGAGGCTTCAAGCTGTCTGAGCCCTGCTCCTTGTCAGAAACGTCCCAGGCCAGCGGCCGGACCTGCGACACGCAGCTAACGTCCCCCCACTGCCCTCTCCCGGTCCCCGCTTCCGGCTCTCGTCTCAGCTCCGATCGATGGGGAAGAAGTCGTGCTTCGTGCTGGTGAGCCTCGAACGGTCACGGCCGCCCGGAGTCACGGTACTGAAGCCCTGGCTGCCGCCAGAAGGCACGTGCAGCAGGTGCCGCAGCGTCAGCATCTGAGGCAAACCTCCGCTCGCTTTCAAAGAGCAAGGGTGCATGGGCTATAGCCCTGGCGAAGCTAGGGTGTCCTAGGCCGGCGGCATTCGCTCATGTCAGCGACGGTCATCACTTTCATAACGGGCTCGATGGCCTTGTCCTTTCGTTCCAATAAACCCGCGCGCGTTTGAGGCCGGGCCAGGCCGCCCCCCCCCCCCCCCCCCAACAAGCCCTGGCCCTAAAGCGCAGTCCGTGAAGGTGATGGCTGGGATGCCGCCCAGGTTCCGCGTCTGGCACAGTTCCCGCGACCACTCTCGCACACACACTCGCACACGCTCTCCCGCTGCTCAAAATCTCGTTCGAGCTCACCGCCAAGTTTGCATCGAAGAAGGGCAGGGACACCTGACATGCAGAGAGACGACAGTGACTGCGCAGGGCTTCTCTGAGGTCGGAGGTCGGCGGCGGGTCGGGGGGACGTGGACGTGCCTTGTTCGCCACGAAGATCGCGGTGAGCGCGGAGCTGCAGAGCGGCAGCACGGAGTTCGGCAAGGCCAAGACCTGCAAGCAGCCGCAGCGGCCGCCAAAGGCGAAGAGAGAGACCGCGGCTCCGACGCTCCGACGCAGCTCCTCCCGCCGCTCTCGCCTCGAAGACGGTGATGGCCATGGCGAAGGCTCGACAGACGGCCGCGCAGAAGGCGCTGGCACCGACGATGCCGCAGCCTCGAGACGACTCAGCGACGCACAGCGAGTCGCCACTTCGTACGGAGCTGGCAGCGAGTCCGAGTCCCCGGCGGGCCATGAAGGCGCCGCGCTGCAACTCCGAAGGGGGAAGGCCTCCGAGTCACGGTGGGCTGGGTTTTGGGGGCCGGGCCCGGGCCGGGCCGGGCCGGAGAGAGAGAGAGTGTGGGTGTCTCTTCTCCTTCAGTCTCCGAGGAAAGCGCCATCCTTGCTCAGAAGAAGATCGACGAACCAGTCCGGCCTAAGAGACGGAAGGAAGGGACGCCGAGATCCTCTCCCAGCGCAGCTGTGAAGCTCGTGAGCCGCTGACAGGAGCACGTGGGCGTAGACGCGTCCGAGCAGACCGCCGATGATCATCGTTGGGGCGACCACCTCGCGCGAGGAGCACATGAAAGCTGCTGAGGTCCGCGGTCGACCAGACTGGCCCGAGCCGTTGAAGGCTAGGCTCGCCGCTCCCGCGGGGATGGCCGAGGACAAGGCCTTAAGGGCAGGCGAGAGCTTGAGAGAGAGAGCGGGAGATGGGGGGAGCCATCGCTGCGGGCGGGGGAGCCGACTGTCGCTCTCAGCCCTGCGCGAGAATGGTCATGCACCACTTCATCAAAAAGCCTGAGCTGCTTCTCCGGTGTATCGGAGAGCATCGAATGATTAGCGGGTTACGTGATGGAGGCGCGCGAAGGCTCCTCCTCAAGCCTAAATTTTAAAGCTCCTTTTACAACCGAGGCACAGAGCGCCAGGGTCCCAGCCACGCCGGCCCAGGGGAGGACCTCGGCCGGCTAGGGAGCCCTCTGCGTTCTCGGAGCGGTTTCTGGTGACCCTGGGGCCGGCGCCCAGGCTTCGGGATCTTTCTGCATCAAAGTCTTGTCGAAGATCGTGGAGATCAACAGCGGCCTTAGCGGGTTCGCGTGGCAGCAGGCATTGCAGAAGGCATTGCACACTGAAGCGGCTACTAACGGCTTTCAGTCATCGAATTGAAGGGGGGGGCCCTCTTAGGCAGGAGCTGCGGCTTGCCTCCCAGCAGGGGCAGAGAGGACGCCAACACGGTGTTCAGGGCTGTGACCTCGCGACAATCTCTGGAACAGCGCGCGACACATGAGATCTCGCTTTAAGCTGGGGAACGCTGGCCACCAGCGCCAAGTCTCTCCACTTGCCTCCCAACCTCACTCTGCGACCGGCTCGCTCAGCGCGCGATGCTGGCTCATCCCCCTCTTTTGGGCTCCCGGCATCCGCAGGAAGCAGCGCTTCAGGCAGCCCGGGCCAGAGGGGCGGCCCTGGAGTGGGCAGCACTAAAGCGACCCAAGGCGCCCAAGGCGCGCCGGGGCGCCTAACTGCCTGGCCTGCCCAAGCAGCGGCTCTCCTTGGCCACTAGCGGCCTCGCAGCGGCTTCCATTTGCAACATGTCTGCTTGTTCTCTGGCTGCATTTTGGAAGACACTGCTCGCAAATGACCGAGCAAACCTGTGCCGTTGCACACACCTTGTGCCTTCTGTCTGGAAAGCATGCTTTCCAGCTTTCTACAAACGTTCAATTTCGAAAGAGGTGCCAATAAACCTGATAGGACCCACGAGCCCGAATGCAGACACGGGTCACGTACATTGCGAAGATTTATGGATACCACCAACATCATCATGTTTACTTGTGGTATCCATAGACTGTAAAGTAGAACACTGTTCTTTTCGTAGATGTGTTTTGTCGCTTTTTTCAGCAAAATCACTTACGAGTAGTTGTAACTTGTCTTGGCTCTGAACACAGCATCTCTTTGCAGAGGGTTGCAAAACAGGCATCTTAGTAAACAGGCATCTTAGTTGTAACTTTTTCGCTCGGATGTAGCTTTTCACCTTTTTCACTCCGAAGCGTTTCCCCCCTCGAAATTCACTCCTTTGTGTTTCCGTCTTGGGTATTCACTCCTTAAGGCTTTCGTTTTGGGTTGAACGTTCCTGCTGGATTCAGTGCTTAGGGTTTTCGTCTGCAGGAAAAGGTTCTTGCTGGATTCACTCCTTGGGGTTTTGTCTTTGGGAAAAGGTTCCTGCTGGATTCACTACTCAGGGTTTTCGTCTTGGGTATTCAGCGCTTAGGTTTTCGTCTTGGGTTCAAGCTTCCTGCTGGATTCACTCCTTAGGATTTTCGTCGTCGGTCAAAGATTCCTGCTGAATTCACTCTGTTGCTGGGACATGGACAGAGACATGTTCCGCATATGAAACCTTGCTTCAAACATGCCGGCGCACTTGGGGCGTTGGCTCAAGAACCCGAGCAGTATGAGGAGATGAAGTGTGAAAGATTGTGGGGTTGGATTGTGGGGTGGGATTGTGTACCAGCCTTGGGGCCCACATGGACTCGAACGAGTATTCTTATCTAGATGATGTGCCATTCTCTGTTCGTCGTAATCTTCGCACATCATTCTCTGTTCATCGTAATCTTCAACATCTCCAGTCCCCAACTCCATCTCATTTCTGTAGAGTATCGTGCATCAGGGAGTTTGATCGCTTGGAAGATGGCTTTCGCCTCTTCCACTGCGTCGTCCCTTCGGCAGTCTTCCCACCCCCCAATGGCCAACTGCATTGCACTGCGATCTCGGGGAGATCGGGGGCACGGGAGGGGGTGGGCGACCTCCAGGCCGCTCGAAGCTTTCTTACATCTTTCACAAGTGCTGAAAGTCTAAGGAGGCTTCCTTCATGTTGCCGGAGTGTCGTGTCATGTGCGTCTGGGCGGATCTCATGATTCGGACTTCTGAGGTAAACTGTGCGATTTCAAGATGCAGTTCTGTATGTCTTGCGCTGATGTCGGAAACATCCGCCTTAACTGGCTCCAAGCGTGCAAGAAGTCTGCCTTCTAGGGCTCCCACCCAAGGCGACGTATCAGTTAGGACCCCCCTCGCCCATTTTCGGCTATTATTGATAATTACCACCAGCCCCACCCCCAAATCACACAAGCTCTATCCCAACCCTAAAATACAATATAGGAATAATACCCGTATGTACTTAGGTAAAGTTTCTACGAAGCTCCATCACTCTACGCGTGGTGCCAATAGCCGAAAAGAGGCAAGGGGTTCCTTATAGAATTTGGTTCAGGGTTTAGGGTTCAGGGTTATAACTTTAATGTAGTTATATGTATAAATGCTTATGTATTTGTAATCCAGCTCCAGCCGCAGGACGAACTGTGCGAAGGCGGCCGCCGCCTGGGGGCTTCGAGCTGCAAAGCTGCGTCCCCCAAACCCTGCGCGCGATGCCAAGGCTGGGCTCCAGGCCGGAAGAGGACAAACTTCAGCAACACCACAACAAGCCGCAGAAGACTCCACACCAATCCCGGACCTGACCAGGCACCGTGCTTGATGCTCAGCTAGCAAGCAGCATCCACATGTTTTGCACATCCTGAGTTGGAGGCGGTAGCATGACGAAAAGCGCGCCACAGCTTCTTGTTTTTACGACGGCGCTGACGCCGCAACTCGAGGTAGAGTTGCACCGCCGCCGGGTCATTGAGGCAGAGGTGCCGCAGCCGCAGCCTCGGAAGCCAACGACATCCGAACAACAGCCTCCGCTCTATTTCTGCACCAAGCCCCCCAAAGTTGCGACTATCTAAAGCGCACCCGAGCAGAGCGCACCCGCTCACAATCGAACTAATGTCTACTCACAACGGTTGCATCACAGCTCGAAGCATGTCTAGTCCAGCGCATCACACTTGGGACTGACATGAATGCGACTCAATTAGGCCGGGGGCATGAGGCATTGCCGCTGCAGTGCCCACCTGCAAACAGCTGCAAGCATGCAATGCTGAGCCCTCCGAGATCGGCCTTGCAAAAGCATCGCCTCGGACCAATTAGGATCACCGCATTAAGCGAAAATAAGGTACCGACATGTACTTGACACGAGGCCAGGAGCCCAATTTGTTCTCCCAAACCTTCTGTAATGTTGTTTCCAAGCATACTTCTGCATCCGTTAAAGCAGCCAGCCTGTTCAGCGTCAGCTTCTGGTCCAACGTCCGATGCTTGCGGAGGCAGCTGGGTTTGTGCCTCACCTGCAGACGGATTCTACGGCTTCAGGCTTTATAGGGTCTAGGTTTGAGGGGTTTAGGGTCCCACTGCGTGGATGGTTGCATGGACGTCGCATGCAACACAACATGACACATACGAGCGCATCCTATTACAGACTAGTGTATCGCAGTTGAAGGTCGCGATTGACTAGTTGCACCTCGTACTACAACTAAACAATTGTGGACAGATTTTCGGAAGCTGGGCCGCGACTTCTCGATGCAGAAGCGGCTAGGCAAACTGTTCGATAGATATTGCGGGGCTGCCGGTTTCCAAGCCCATGCTCTTGGCCTTGAAGCCATGAAGATGCCGCAGCCGCAGCCTCGGAAGCCAACGACATCCGAACAACAGCCTCCGCTCTATTTCTGCACCAATGCGACTCAATTAGGCCGGGGGCATGAGGCATTGCCGCTGCAGTGCCCACCTGCAAACAGCTGCAAGCATGCAATGCTGAGCCCTCCGAGATCGGCCTTGCAAAAGCATCGCCTCGGACCGATTAGGATCACCGCATTAAGCGAAAATCAGGTACCGACATGTACTCGACACCGACAAAAAAACAGCGCGTCGTATCTGTATCTGTCTACATGCATTCCACGTGTCAAGGAGCTGCTTGCAGATCTTGACTAAGAGTGAATTGGAAGTGGACTTGCCAGCCTCGAACCGTAACTAGTAACGCGCGATCCCTTGCCTCTTCCAGCCCCAGCCAGGCCACTACATCCTGCAGGGTAAGCAGAAAGCCAGGGGCTGGGGAGAGTAGGAGTAAGACCATGACAAGGTCTCAAAGACCATGAAGAAGTTCATGTCTGCAACACATGTTGACTCTCAGCTGCAGTGGCAGGGGAATGTGACCTTTTGCTAGATGTCATAGGCCAGGTCAACCCCCCAAAGCATTTTTTCGTACTGGACTACTAAAATTACATTGTACTGTGGTATTCTTGAATATTTACACGCAAGACTATGAATGGATCGCGAGAGCAAAAAAAGTTCCTTCACGAAAACCACTTCAGATCTTGACACGCGCCAACAGGTTTGCAGCAGCATGTGGAGTTGCCCTGCCCTGAAGGCCCCGGAGGCGTCCTGAAGGTTGCTAGGCCCTCCCGGCAAACACCCTAGTTAAGCAAGAGGAGCTGAGGGCGTAGGCGTAGCCAACAACCCAAACAAGGAGTCGCAGGCGTTCTGGCTTCCAACCTAAACCCATACACGACTACGTCGTTGCGTGGCGCGCTGCGCCCCGCGGCCGTTAAGTCGAGGCTCGCCGCTTTAAGGTTAACCTAACTGCAAGCGAGGCAGGCGGGCTCGGGCTCTAGGAGATGAGGTCTTTACCAGAACGGGCGGATTTTTTGACGCCCTAGCCGCCATGAAGCTAAAAGGGTGGTTTTCGGCGATGCATCTCTAGGCTTAATGCTGCACTGTGCGACCTTTCGGCTGAGGGGCTGGCATCTTCAATGGAAGGTCCGATGACCGAAGCAAGACTTGCCCTGCTACGAGACAAAAAAACACGAGTACTAGGTTTCCATACTGAGAGACCACGTGACTTATCTTAGTTGCAGCAACTATGAAGTTTGCATGACTCATATATGACTCAGTGCGGATAAATACTGCAAATGTCAGGTCCTCCCACGGACGCCATGGCTTTGGTTGCCTGGCCGCTAGCACTTGCTCGATAGCCGGTCGCACATCGCCTTCTCCGATGGTCACTGCGGCGCCTGACAAAAAAAACATGTGGTGTTCTTCATACTATACTACAGCGTGCTGTACTGTAGTGCACTACAGTATGCTCTAGTAAACTATGATATGTCACAATGTATGTTTGCAGCTGTTACGCCGTACACAGAGTGGCCCATTTTCCTTGCGGCGGAAGTTTTTTGCAAAGGTGTCGCTCGAGACTTTCTTTTTTGCAAAGGTGTGGCTCACCCCTTTCTGGTCTTCCAATGCTGCAAATGCTGCAAGTTACAGCATTTGGTAGTAGTAGTAGTAGCAGCAGCAGTAGCAGTAGCAGAAGCAGAAGCAGAAGCAGAAGTAGAAGCAGTAGCAGTAGCAGTAGCAGTAGCAGTAGCAGTGCAGTAGGAGTAGGAGTAGTAGGAGTAGTAGTAGTAGTAGTAGTAGTAGTAGTAGTAGTAGGAGTAGGAGTAGCAGTGGGAGTAGCAGTAGCAGTAG